TGTAATTCTTTGCGCACAGTGCCAGCCCCCTAATTCTATGACATCATTTGCAAGAAAACAACACCCAAACGTTGTGATTGGTGCAGGATATTCAAATGCTATGATATGGTTGGTGCGAAATACATATCCTTATTCAGCAAACTAATCGGTGCGAGATACATATCCTAATGGTGCGAGCAACATACCACTCTACTCGCTAACAAGTTTCAGTTTTTATCAAAAAATTACCCAAAAGGCTGAGAAAGCGTAACCTCTGAGCGTTACTCTTGAAGCCTGAGGTTATCTTCCCCTCTTCTACAAGTTGGGGTGCGTGGAAGATATTTCATCTGACAGTTTGATTAGAAGAACTGAATATCTTCCAGTGGCTGATTCAGGTAAATTACCTCCCGGGTTATCTATTAGGCGGTAATAGCACACATTTTCCAGACTACAGAAAGGGAACCGGCTCGATCTTGATCTCATAGCTCGATTTCTTAATTGTAAAAAAAACTGTGCCGTTAGTTGCTGACCTCTAGGCTGGTGTAGCTATGTGACTTTTTATCTCGACCCCTTACCAAGTGACAGACTCATTTGAATTTGATAGAAAATTATATAGCAGATGACCGTTTACAAGAGTCCCTATGGTTTGATTGAATTGAAAACTAACCGATGGAGAGCTCGTCTGAGCAACAGTGAAGCGCGATTTCTCATCAATTCACCCAACTGTGCCCGAAAAATTTATAAAGCTTAGTGTTTAAAAGGTGTATCGAACGTAGAAATATTTTGAGAGAGATAAACTTGAAATTAATCTATAACATCCATTTATGATGTGACGTAATGTGGCAATAGCGATTGCCGGCGCTTTACAAGCAGGTGCAAAAAGAGGACCGGTTCGATCTCGCTGCCGAAACACTGATTTCTAACGTTGAATTTTTGCCAAGTGACATTGACTAGCTTCACGCTAAATTCGGTTAGCTTTATGGATTATTACTTTTATGAATTGGCGGAGAGTTGGGAGATATCTTTGTTTATATGAGCTTATGAGCTCATGTTTACATGTCGCTTGTTACATGGGCACGTAGCAAGAAGGTAGTTTTATATGCTTATAAAGTTCAATTTGGCTTTTTCTGTTTGCTTTTTGCTTTTTTCTAAGTTAACGTTATGGAAAATAGGTGCACGTGTAGAGATCTTACATAACATACACATAGCACAACGATAATTGTTTCAGTTAGTCACTTTTCGTTATGATTTTTGATGTTAAAAAGTTACTTGAGTTTACTTGTATTTTTTTTTAACATTTCTTATTTTGTTCTGAAGGCAATGTAAACACCTAACAACCTACTTGAAAAACCAGAAAATTCAGAAATGTCAAGACTAATTCACTGAGTAAGATTAAAGCATAAACATGGGAGACTATACTGACAATATTTTCGTCCGCATGACGTGACTTTTACAGCTAACAGTCTATTCCAAGTATTTAAATTAAGAAATTATAAGCTGATTTTATACCATGGTAAATTAAAATGAATGAAAAATGTGTTGTATTAACCCAATGAAATTATTACGCACGTAACGAGCTGTAACCATCTAACGAATGGTGCCAATCACAAAAAAATGGAAGAATGGACAAAAAAATCAGAAAAACAAAACAACAAAGCGCAAAAGCAAAAACAAGAGGTTGCTAGGGGTGGCTCTATGACGTTTGTTTTCTATCTAATCTGTTTTCGAAAACTCTCTTTCGAAAATTTTAGTTTAAGCTGCGTAAAATTATAAAACCCAAAGGAAAACAAATAGACACAATTACATGCAAAGAGCGCATATTTAGATTACATATTTTGAATGATCTAGGATAGGAACACAGAAAATCGAGCATTCTGGAAATGGCAAACATCACGTTATCTTGCAGCTTTGGAATGATTCATCAAAAAAACTTGAATCAGTCTGAGCGTTCCCAACTCGACTATCCCAGACCAGCGACAATTTGCTACGCCGGCCGGGAAGAAAGATGGAATCGACAGACTGATAACTCGGATGAGATGGTTTTCTTGATCGATGGTGCCATAAAGGAATCAGGTTCGTCTAATGGATTTTTTTTTCACATTGTTTAGATGATGAAGTTCGTAGGCTAAATATCAAAGGTTATGAACCCTTCAAATAATTCTGCGCCGAAATGTCTGCTTTTGTGGTTCAGTTCACTTCTTGATTTCCTTGAGCTCAGAAATAAGAAACGGATTTAACCTAACGATCCAAAGATCTGCGGTTTGATCTTTGAGGGAGCAGGACTTTTTTCGGCTACCGAGATAAATTTATATAAAATCCCTCTCTATTGATTTTACTCGTTCAAAGGTTATTATAGACGTAGTCCATGAAAGATGTGCCACAAGAACTAAATCATTTTCATTCTATCTCACATCTTTTATTGTGATAAAAACCACAGCCTCTCGTCTCAGTAGATTTAGTCAAAGGTCAGAACTCCACATCAGTATGAAATTATATAGTTAATGTATGTTTTATCATTTCTCGAAACGAATCACTGTTGGGGGAATATGAATCGATCTATCTGTTATTTTTCATCAGATTTCAACCTTTCGTTGACTTGAAAAGGACGCCGAGGGGTCAAAATGCTACACAGAGTTAACGGAAACATAGAGAGGCTCTCGTACCTTTACGATCATTTTTAGAAAAAAAAAATCATTGTATTTTGTATCCGCGGAGACTTTTTAACATGATGGATTGTTCTAGTTCAATAAAACAGTTGATCTCATACAAGTGAACTTGCAAAGTTTGAAAAAATTGAGAAGGAACCAAGAGAAGTTGAGTTTTTAGTTTATTGCTCTGCTCTTTTAAATACTAAATTCAGTGAGGATGATTAGGTACTAGGTTGTAGTACCACGACAACATGTGACTGAAAATCAATCTCAGCTTTCTCTGACACTGTTGTTCACATATGTATCGTCATTGCATAGATCTGTTCGGACTATCATGCAGTAGTTTTTCATTTTAATCTTTAGTTTTTGGTATTTTCTGGCAGGACTAGGAGCTAGGAGGGAAAAAAAAAACGTGATGTGACATAGTGAGAAGCGACTGAGGCGAAGCGCAACCTGTCTAGCACGCGTCTCGTCCCAATCTCTTCTCTTGCAATGTTGATAGGTGGTAGATATCGACAAAACCCGTCCATAGTTACTTTTCCTGTAGATGGCTTGTCGAGGTTTAAGTTATGTGTGAATTTAATAACATTAACTTTCCTGTGCAGGTACCATACCTCAGGAAGCACTGGAACTTGCCACTAAGCCGGAAAAACTCACAGCTCGTCGAAGTCGTACTAAGTTTACTACTTATCAAAAGCGAGAGCTGGAGAAGACATTCAGCTGCTCGCCCTTCCTTTCAATGCAGAATTACCACAGATTGACACAAGAACTGGGAATTTCTGAGAAAATCATTAAGGTATTTCTGAGTTTATATTGGTATACAAGGAAACATTGATTCAAGGCATACTGTTTAAAATTAACAAGGTTGCACATTTTTCAGACCTGGTTCAAAAAACAGACGGGTCAAATGGCGCAAAGACTCGCAAAGGACTGGAACGAATACAACATCGACTTCTGGTCCCTCAAGGAATACCTGCTGTCTCCGTTTTGATCACTTGTCCTACTCAGCAAGTAATCTGGAGGATGAGTGATGCCTGAATGTCGTGTAATTCAAATAGCGCTTGTGATGCACACGAACCTGAACAATATGATTGCAGTCCATCCACAAGTGTTGTTTCAACTATTTAAGCAAAAACGTCTCCCTAAACTATTTACATGCAAGATAGTATTGATAAATCTATGGCTACTTTATGCAGTGTTTGATGAGTTACCTGCTTCTGGTCAGTTCAAGGCTTCAACCTTATCGAACCTAAATCACAAGTTAAGACCTTAAAACATGAGATTATTTGCCTTAGCTTTAAGATCCTGACTTCTAAATTTCATACAACCCGTACGGCCCAAGTCTGCATCTTTTGAAAAACATTCCCTAAAAATCCTCGAGAGGGGGACGTACGGGATAGCTTGAGCAGAGCCGAGAAAAGTTGTATGGCCCCGTGTGATGCGAGTTAAATAAAAGGAAGAAAAAAATGGGAAAGAGCGATGGTCATAAGATAAAATGTTCATTGACTGAGGCAAGTCCAGCCGGCCGGGAAAATGTTCGTCTCTCGATCGTGACGCAAGCACCTTGCTGCACGCATTCTGTACGTTATAACCTCGAGCCAAATATTTTCCCGTCCGGCCCTCCCTCTCAGTCAATTAGTACATAATGTGTCAAGCTTCCGAAATTTCTTTTAACATGTATCTTACGCCATATTTATCTATAGATTGTTGTTCACGTAAATCTACTCTTCATATCATTAAGTATGTTAACAATGCGACAGGAAACTCAAACCCACAACTTTCCTGTTGTTCCAATACAAATTTATTTCAGTGTCAATATAACAAGTGTTATTGTGTAAAACATGTAACTGAATACATCTTCGGTTTTGACGTGCGTGATTTTTTTTTTTTTTTTTTTGCTATCACAGTTGTAAACAATCGCCGGCTAATTGATTTCGTACAAAGGTTAAATAACTTATGTAACTTGAGAAGAAACGTTATTGTCATGTTTTGACTTGTGTTGGAAGCCGTTTATCAATAACTCTGGAAAACAAAAATGAAACATACCTATATCGCGGTAACCGTTCGAAAGATGCAACGCTACTTTCTATTTTCTGCAGCAGAATTCATCCCAACTTCCCCCTCAATCTTGAGATGTGTTCATTGTGAAATGAGAAACGGACTTTGCCGGTTACAGAGATCTCGATAAACAGACTGGAACTTTTCACACACAAACACTTACTTCCAGCCCTGTTACTGGGTTGAAACTTAAAGATCGCATCTACCCTTTTTCATTTTGGGAGCTAGGCTTTGGTTACCGTTACCGTCGGGACCTGTATCAGAAGCCCCCTATAAATTTCGTATATCAAAGTTCTGTCGGCATTGTGGGCTATCTTATGGAGACGGAGTTGGTTTGAACACCCATTCTACAGGTGGTACTGGTGACTCAGGGACTCTCAGATACCGACACTTGCCTGTTCGGTCTTGATAATACCACGATCTGTCCTGAGTCACTATGTTTGAACTTGGACACGTATCCGTGTTGACAACAATTCTTTCATAGCTTCTTCTTTCTCGTAATTTATTCGCTGGATAGAGAGGTCTCTTGTGCTTTGAGGCTTTAACTTTCAAAGATCCATGACTGGCCTTTGGCTGGTGTTTCCGTAAAAAGGCTTTGACTTTAAGGTCGATTAACTCATCCTCAGGGTTTGAAACCGTAAACAGTGCATCAACAGCGGTTGAGTCGTGTTTCTGAGGAGGAATCCTACTCCTAGGTCTGTGGTCGACTTTCACCTTACTGTTAAATGTTATTTTACGCCGCGGCGAGCGCCCCTGAGAATGCCGTTTCTTTCCCTCGCAAGCGACGTCGTTGGGCTTCTCTACCAAGCCAATCTGAGATTTAACAAGATCAACACTGTCATTTCCTCCCTTGCTCCCCATGTCTTCCTTAGCTTTCCACGATGAATAATCACCGACCAGATCTATTGGGGCTGGAAAAGTTGTCTTGGTTTCCTTGTTTTCAAATCGAGTGGGCTGAACGATCTTATCATAATTTTCCATTTCGTACCGATCATCATCGCCCCTTTCCAAGGTCGGCGTTTTCGGTGTGGTCGCTTGGCTTTCCGGGATAATCTTAGCTTCAAGAAGCCCTTGAGTACGATCCGTGGACTTGTCAGAGCTTACACTTTGTGGGGACCATTTGCTGGTCTTAATTACAATCTTCCTTCCCTCGTCTAAAGATTTGCTCCTCTTTATGTGATCTCCCGTCGTCAAAGTTTCAAGGGATTTGGTAATTTTCGGCAATGAATCGCTTGATTCTTTTCCGGTTTCCGAGGGGTATTTCGTTTGCGTGATAACTTGTTTTGTTTGTCGTTCGAGTGCTGTCACAACTCTTTTAGAACCAGATATTTGTTCATTGGCAGAGCTGCCTATAATTATTCCTGGAGAGGACATTCGCCTTCCAGAGACCGATGCTGAATTGTTTATAAATTGGCTCTGCTTTGTTGTGTTGATTTCCTGAGGCAAACGATGCCTTGTGACGCTCACTCCAATATCATAGCGGGGACTCTGACCTGATCTTTTGACGAAGAGGGTTCGTGGTAAAGACCGTGCTTGGATCGATCTTTTGGCGACTGTCCCATCTTTTAAATCTTCAGAACTGTTAGCGACTACATCTTCTTTATGGTCCACTTTCGATCTGTCTCTAGCTTTGTGTTCGTTAATATTCTTTCCGATAACACCATTATCCTGAGCGCTAAAATGGTCAACGGACAGAAAATCATTCGGCCTTGGTTCACATTTTAAAGTAGTTAAAACTCCGGCAGTAGTTCTTTTTAACCCTATTTGGCCCGTTGAAACTTTCCGACGATGCCTCTCTTTCTCCATACGATACGAAAACAAAGCAGTTCAGTGTATTACTTGTCAAGACCAATTGTTGAATTAGAGCGGAGAGAATTAAAGAACAGTATGAACCATGTGACCTTATTTACCAAAATAACACAGAGGAAATGACAGCTGGGTTGATTGACCGCTAAACGCCACCAACGTCACGCTATCGCACCATTATATTCGAGCTAACATTTCAGATCCCACGTTTACACCAAAGATAACTTCAACTGTTTTTCTTCAAATGGTAAACATTTACTGAAACAACAACGCATACAAGTGTCTGTAGATCAAAAGTAATTTTCCATCTCATTCTATGATAACATTTGACCCTCGGATTAAAAAAGAAAGTCGTCCAATGTGCTACTTTTAATTATTTCTTGTTTATTATAACAAATAAAGTCATTGATGCATAAGATGGCAAAGCGGAACTCAGCGCTGAAACGGCAATTTAAATATTGATGTTGATATTGATGTTCAGTGTTTCCGTAAAGTTCGCAAACGAAAGTCGATTCAATAATGAATGAATATACATGAAAGACGCCGTCATTGCTCGTGAGCTACCTCAATATTAATTTAAATTGAGCTGATTTATTTATTTTTTAATTTCGTTAGTCAAACAGGATTAGACTAAGACGCGACTTTGGAATTTAAGTAACTCTTGGCAGCTCTTGCGCATCATACATTACCAACATGAACGTTGTTCTAATTATCTAGTGTGACATTTCCACGAGCATAGAATGTTTCGCAATAACTATGACATAGCAAGAGATTATATTCTCGTGAACTTAGCTGAAAGCTTACTTGAAAAACAATTGTATTCTACCACACAACATTCTTGAGTTACAAACGCACTCGATGAGATATAAATACCATGAACGCTATTAGCCTCGGAGCGAAAAAAAAAAAAAAAAAAAGAATGACTTCCCGTGTGTAAGTGATTTTCGCTAGCGTTAGCGACCAATCAGGCCGCTTTAGCGTCGCCAATTCTCACTGAGGCGTAGATTCCGCGGCAAAATGGTCAAGTTTTTGACACTTGATAATAAATATAGGAACTTCCTTGTTACTCGTAAACCGAGTCAGCTAGTTCGTCTTTTGCAAATACATATGAAATAGGAGGAGTAGGAGATTCTGGAGCTCTGAGATAGCGACATTTTCTTCTTTTGTCTTGATAATACCATTTTCTGTCCTTTGAAAAGTGGCTCATGAGTGGGCATGTGTCAGTATTAATAGGCACTCCTCTGAGCTGCTCCACAGCACCGTTAGTGTAAACATTCCCACTTACTTTTCTTTGTAGCTTAAAATCGGGGATTTTCTTCACTCGAAGACTTTGTGTGCTGGCCAAAGGCTGAGGCTCTTGGAGAAACTTTTTGACTTTGGATGTCAGGTCCCTTTCGAGTGATATTTCTTGTGATCCAACAGAAAGTGTTTGCTGTGCGCGATGGTCTTCCATTCTTGATTCATCGACGAAACTAACGAAATCAATGTTGGTCTCGGATTCACTGCCTGATACAGCTAAAGTGTGACTAGAATTCGCCTCTTCCTTTTTAATACTCGGTAACTGAAGGAATTCTGTATTTACTTTCATGATGCCTTCAAAGCGGTCCGAGATTTTCAAGTCTAGTTTTACATCGTCATCGCCTTTGTCTTCCTTGTAGAAACCCGCTTCAGGTTTTACCTTTTCAGCTCCTTCTGGAGCACTGTGCTGTCGCCTACGGTTCAAAAGAGTTCTTCTGGTCCCTTTGTTGTCGTCTTGAGCGAGATATGATGCCTGAGCTTCAAACCTTGGCAAGTTTTCGTTGGCGTTGTTTTTTTGATAAAACTTCATCTTCAGTGCCTCCACTTGGTCTCGCTTCGTATCGTCAGGAAAATAAAATAGAGTTTCATCCTCGTCTAATGATTGTTTGCTGTTGAGGTGATCTGAATCGTCCTTTCCGATTTGGAAATTAGCAGTGGGTTTCCTGTAAGAGCTCATGTTATAATCACTATCATACACAACACTCCCAAATGTAGACACAGGCGGATCTGCGTTGAAAATATGACTTTTCAAATATGGTCGTTGTCCTCTTTGATTCTCTGATGGCCTTGCGGAAATTAAGGGCAGACTTCTTCGGCGAGTTGAATTCATATAACCTGACATTATTAAATCATATTCCCATGCGAATGATTATTTCTTAAACCCCTCGCCAGATGAAGCCAGACCGAATAACTCGTCATGTATGAATCCACCCGTAAATGAAAAAAAAATAAGATACATTAAGATGCACATAAACGGTAATTATGTATAATTAACTTGTCACTATATGATTTGGACTGACGTGCCCACTCGCAAATTTTTCCCAGTCAACTGTAACGGTTTGCGTCGTTAGCACTCCAGTGGGTAATTAAGACGTGTGGGTGGGTGGGTGGAGGATGTACTGCCAAAAGCCTTCAAACACTGACCCTCCTAGTTAATGCTTTACACTCTAACATCAGTATGCATATTCTTCATACTGTTCTCTACACATTTCCTTAGGTGCTAACGAGGAGAATTTGTTTAACAGTCAAGAGCTTCTTTAGTCGGTGATCATTTCCTTTATTCTCGTGGCCTTAAAGTCTTTTTCAGGGGTGATAATCCAGTTGCAGGCTCTTCTCGTCGCATGAATACGAGCCTGCTCATACATATGGAAGAGCAGTACCATAGGTCACTTCAAGTACATGACCGGAATTTTTTTCTAAGGAAAGATGCTCGATTTACGATCGAACTGCAGGGGACCGGATTATGTTCATCTGAAAGGAAACTGTAACCACTCGAGATATATCTGCTGTTTTGTGTGGCCAACAAAACAGTGCTAAATCGGTAAGCATCCTGTGCATTCACGTCCTCTCCACACTCGAACTTTTTTGCTAGAAAAAGTGAAAATCGCACATTGAATAGCCCAAAAAAATGAAAAGCATACAATAAGTAACTATGCAAACCTGATTTCAATTGCTGGCTCTCAGGGCCACTAAGGTGCTAGCTCATGTGTCACGCTTTTGTGAAAACTTGGCTGAAAGTGCATAGTAAACTCATTCGAGTCGACCTACTACTTTATTCCTAAGTTTTTGTTTTGTAATTGATATCTGTTGGCCCATGTTATTCCATGATCTTCCGGTGACACTTGTCATTGTCAATCATCAAATCCGGCTTTGGCTGTTAACACGAACCCATCCATTTCGCTACTAAGATCTGAAAGCCTGGCTCGCAACGGATGACAGCTGCATCTCTTTTTGTGACGTCATAAGACTCTGATGTTAAATCAAGATACTAGAAATTAAACCTTTTTGATGGAATTATTGATCCTCATAACCAGTCTGTTTGTCAGGGCAGAAAAAACTTCGGAAGAATTTACATGATGATCAGAGTGAAATGGACACCGCATTTGTTACCCGAACCTGGCGGTGCCGTTCGTGTGAGTTTAGCTGATGTCAAAGGTGTATTACGTGATACTGGCTCTCTTCTGATCACCGTCCGCGTTTAGAATCTCCCAACTCTAAGGATATCCAGGTAAACAAGAAGCAATAATGTTAATAGTAATTTAACAATTGTAGCTCTGTGGAAGATATGATGCACTCACTGAATGGTTACGCTGAGATCTCTAGGACTTGACAGTTTGCCCTTTGGGGAAGATCACTAGAACTGCGGCGAAAGGTAACGCCAAAAAAAATTAATTCGCGCGACATTCCGCAAATGAAGAAAGAGAACTTCCTTCATCCACAAATTAGGATGCATTGTAAATATGGAGATCTGAAGATGGAAGGCGAATTATTTATTGATCGTTTCTACGGCCTCCCTCAATCACTAGATTTGCCTCGACAAGTACCACTGTGTAAGGCGTCATAGTAAGTAAGCATAAAGTAACATCACGCATCGACAAAGGTGACTCGGATTGTTTTACTGGTCATATGGAATGATATGGTTTCTTCAAGCAGGGTCACTGGAAAATAATGAATGCTAGATGATAGAATCTCAGTAAAATTCCGAGCGATGTACGCTAACCATCTTTATTTTCTGATCAGCCAAGTTAAAACATAAAATATAAGAACTGGAGAAAATTTTAACTATCCTTTTGACTTTGTGACGGATGTCTACCAAATTCATAGTTTGTAGGAGCTTCACCTCACCATGTTACAAAACCCTCAACTCAAAGAAGGCAACAAACTGATTGGCTCGACAAAATAGGAAAACAAAAAAAATAAGCTAGATAGGAAAATGAAGAATGACAACAATTTAGGTCATGGATATAGAACGAAAAAAAATGCTTTATGTAAAAAAAAAAAAAAAACGAAGAACTTGCTTAGCTAAAGCAAAATAAGAGTTCACGGGTAAAATTATCAAAATAAAAAGCAACTATTTAGAATTAAATCTTTCAAATACTTGTAAACGATGAATAATCTAAAAGTCAATATTTACAAAGAGAATGATAAAAAAAAGGGAAATTTAAAAGAAAGTAAGTCTAAAATTCAATGTACATGGCACTTTCTGTTGTTTGAATGTCAATGTCAATGTTCTTAAGTTCGATTTTTTAATTTTAGGCGGCAGTTATAGAAAGATGGAAACAAAAAATAATCCTCTACTCCTAAGATATGGATGGAGAAATTTCAGACCGGGATATCTTCAGTTTATGAACAACTCCAAATGTTTCTTGCTATTTGCCACTGCTTTCAGTATTAGTCAAGGTGCGTTTAAAATCAGAAGTCGTCTGATGAAATATTTGCTTATCATTTGAAGAAAATATTCGACATTTTTTAAAGACATGTTTATGTAATTACATACACTGTTTTGTCTCTATTGTTTGTTTTGTCCTAGAAGCATTTTGTTATGCTCTTTAAATTCAACATTGTACTTTAAATCAGAACCGAAGATGACAGAAGAACTTTCGAAACATGTTTTTTAAAAATGTCGCATGTTTTCTTAAATGCGTGCCATATCTGCTGCTATCCAGACCTATCATCATTTTATAATAATGGTTATAAGGTCTCATGTCTTAGAGCCTTAAAAGGAAGAAGTAGCGATAGAGCGGGTAGAGAAATCTCTGCTTCCCTTACCTGCTTTGGAATGATGACCTATTTGATGCGATTCACCAAGTGCGAAGCAAATAGAGGATTATCCTGTATAGTAACTGGCTTTTTTCTTGACTGAGTTACACGTAAAAACCGATGGGTTTCTAAACAGTCTAGTAGTAGAGCTCAAAACCTTCCAAAGAACTCGGATAATAACTTAAGCCTCGTTCCAAAACGCCCCGAAGCTGTCCATCTCCAGTTTCCTTAAACACATTATCATATAATGCTAGCGATTGTGCATCAAACCCCCATTTGGACCGTTTAAAAGGCCTTTCCCTTTCTTCCTGGAGTTCAAAGATCCTACGAGTGATATTTTTTATGAATGATATTTTTCAGGAATGACTGTTGGTGGTTTAAGCTCTGCCGTCCTCACAACCATTGAAAAGCGATTCCAGTTTACTAGCAGAGAAACAGGGTTCATCGCTGCTTCCAATGATATTTCTGCCATTCTTCTTACATTTATCGCCAGTTATTGTGGCGGCTATGGAAATAAGTCCAAATGGCTAGGATATGGAGCTCTGATAACAGGTGCACTCCTTGATTTTTGACGCCTGCCTTTCTCATAATCCATTTAATGTGTTACCTGTTGGCAGAACTCCTGTTTCCTTCAATATTTGTTGTAGTCACAAATGTCTTTAAGGGCTTAATTAATGTGAAAACCATCCAAATCGAATCAACGATGCAAAGGGAAGTGAAACGATCGAAATGATAATTTTTTTAATTTTAGGCGGCAGTTATAGAAAGATGGAAACAAAAAAGAATCCTCTACTCCTAAGATATGGATGGAGAAATTTCAGACCGGGATATCTTCAGTTTATGAACCCCGCCTCTAGTTGTGACTAGAGGCGGGGGGTTGGGTGGGGCTATCACGCTGCCCTAAACTATTCTTCAACCGACGCAGAAATATATCTGGACAGACGAAAAATATACAAACGCAAAATAAAAACCTACCATATGAAAAAAAAAGGAAGCACATAATATGACTAATTAGCAAAAGGTACAAGAACGCGAAAAACTAAACTAAGCAAAAACAAACAGAAGAACATGGACAATTACGTCATCCAGGCGTCTAAATTTGCTTACGTACCTGTCAGAGTTGGTAGCAATTTCAGTAACACATTCAGCTTATCACGTACCAGGATCCTACCGACAACCCCTTAGCCTTGAAAGGTCTGGGTACGAGACTGACCTTAGGTATCAGCAGGTTTCGATGTAGATTTCGACTCTACAAACCTCTGTTAAGATTAGTTGACTCATTAGTCGCTAGCTCTTAAATGATCGACGGTGCAAATATAAAAAAAGGCACCGAAAAATTCATGATTATCATCTCGTTGACAGTACAGGCTGAAAAGTAACCTTAGTCCAAAAACATCTGGTAAGTTTGAGAAAGACATCTTATGAACCTTTCAGGTGTTGGATGCTTCATACATACCCTTCCCCACGTTATAATCGGGCGATATCAACCAGAGGCTGACCACGGAGCCTCTACAGGTCAAAGGCAGCTCTTCTGTCACGTGAACACCACAAACACAACATCGGATTTAGAGGGTTCCCAGTGTTTATCGAAATACGCAAAGAACTGGTACTACCTGATGATCTTTTCGGTTGCGCAAATGGTCATGGGAGCTGGAACGTCACCCCTGTACTCACTAGCGCCCGCTTATATCGACGAGAATGTCCACCCAAAATCGTGTCCAGTCTACTTCGGTGTTTTCTTCGCAGCAGCAATTGTTGGTCCTGGGTTAGGGTTTCTTGTTGCAGGTGCGATGCTTACAACCTACGTTGATCTGGAAATGGTAAGTTCCCAGGAAATAAGCTCTTAGCGTTCTGTTACAACTTCCTTCGACAGGTTTATAAAAATAGTTCCAATTGTATGTTATTCACCAGCCGGGAGGTCCGTATTGGGAAAAACTGTGCCCGAGGTCTTTAGTACCTTCCGAGGCCTTTAGTACCACCCGAGGCCGAGGACGACTTCTATTGTAACAAAATGCAATTTCGTATGTCAGAAAAAAAGTTGCTATTCACTAGCTGTATAAGTGGATTTTGCGCACCGTAGTTTTCATTTTTTGGTGCCTAGATTTATAATTCATTGACTACAAGTTTGAGGAATATTAATTCTAGAGAATTATTTAGGGAAGCCCTGGACGATCATTTCTCGTAATTTCTATTATAGTTTTAACAGTTCCTAACTTAGTGTATTTTTGTTTTAATAGGTACTATCATATATATATATATATATATATATATAGACAGTCTGTCTGACGAGCGCTTAGGCGCGAAACTCAGAGTAATAGAGAATCGATGCGTCCTCTTTGATTCTTTCACTTATATAAACTCAGCTCTGCTACCACAGCATTGAGCACTTTATGCCAAGGTAGACTCTACCCCCACATTTATATATATATTATTATTATTATTGTTGTTATTATTATTATTATTATTATTAGGGCTATTATTATTGAAACCAAAGATGCATTTTTCTTCCAGCCCAAAGGCTTTCATATCACTCCTCGGGATTCACGTTGGATAGGGGCGTGGTGGCTTGGGTACGTAATTGGTGGAAGCCTTCTCGTCCTTACTAGTGTGGCCCTTTCAGGATTTCCACGGCAGCTTCCTGGTGCCAAAGAAAGGAGGGAACAATTGTTGAAAGAAAGAGCCATTCCTTTAAAAGACCAAAACGTAATGGAGAACCTAAAAAGTATTATCCCAGCGACAAAGCAGCTTCTCAAGAATCCTGTCTTCGTTTTTAATGCTTTGGCCCTGTCGGCAACCACTTTTGGTAGCGCTGGCGTGGGGCCTTTCCTTGTCAAATTCCTTTATCTGAAGTTTAATCTAAGTTTGGCCATTGCAGGGCTGGCCGTTGGGATAGCGGTGGCTCCTGGTGCTGGAGGTAAACTCTTGTTGTTTATGTCATAAGCTGAACAGACGCACAATAACGTGGAATCTGTTCGTTATTTACTCCCCGTGAATGTAACTCTAGCTTAGGTTCCCATGTAAAAGGCGGTTTGATAAACCTGGAGCCACCTCCTAGAAGAGAAAGAGATGGCTACAAAGCTACTTATTAAGAATGTTAACTAATAGCGGATAAAGAGCAGATTTAAATTGGAAACAGGCGCAGCCCTGGCTAAAAATATTTAAACACTTTGAAGACAAGAGTGCGCAAATGACGTAGTTTCGCAAGGACTTAGGAAGCACTCATTATTTATCCCGGGAGGGGGGCAGGGTCGGAGGATTTTGGGAGGATCGCACTAACAGAGTTTAAAGGTGAGACTACAGAAAATTGACTGCCAATGAGAGGGGATCATCAGAATACTACTGAGCCTAATAGTAAGATCAGATAAATTGTGTCGTGACATTCCCAGAATCCTTCATCCCTCCCAACCCCCCCTTCCCCTACAACCCCAACGATAAATAATGATATCGGTCTCTTACGCCTTGTTTAGAGATAATTATCGAGTTTTGATTCTAAAAGGGACAATTTATTTTACTGCAACACATTATTTCCAGGTGGTGTTTTCTTGGGAGGTCTTGTTGTCCGTCGTTTCAAGTTAAAAGAGACACTCCTTATGGCAGCTAAATGCTGTTTGATTATCAAGGTTGCCACAATATTTACAAGTCTTATTTGGCTAATACCCGGATGTGACGAGGTGCAACTTGCTGGGATAGTCAAACCGTACTGGGACAGGTAGGGAGAAAGATAATAGCAATTGAAGTAGTTGAATTGATTTTGTGATTTCTGCACTTCTCCACGTGTGATAACTGGATTTCTGAGTGGTTTATAGCTCGTTTCCTGGTCATTTCGTAGACACTATCACTAAAAACCTTGTAAAGAACTAGCAAGTTGTAGATTATTTGTAGGTCGTAGGGATTATACTGGCTGGATTGTCATGTTCTACAGCTACATGTTGCCAGGCTTTCTTTAATGATTCATGGACTTAACTTGTTTGTCCTTCACAGCACAATGGGAGGAAATTCTTTAATTTCAACATGTAACAAAAACTGCAGTTGCCCTCTGTCCCTGATCAGACCTGTGTGTGGCTCGGACAAATTAACGTACTTCTCTCCTTGTTTTGCTGGTTGCACTTCATCACACACTAGTGGGGTAAGGTTTAAGAACAGAATCTTTCCTTGAATATGACCTATCAATAGTGATGTCAGCTAGAACAAATTCAAAATTTCCAATGATATAATACAATCTCAAGGTCGAACATGGAAAACGCCATTTAGAAGGGCCTAAATTTTTATCCTCATCAAAGAATCAACTTTTACCTACATTCAGCGCATGAGATTACCATGTATAACGCAGGTGACATGATGACTTGGGAAGAAGTAACTCTATTGTAAAGAGAAAAGAACGTTGAGTTTAATAGTTTACTACCAAACATGATTGTAACATTTTTTTTACATAAAGCACAGTTTGTAGTCAGAATGACGCGAGATTTCGAATCAGTCAAGAGACTCCTCAGAGATTTCGAAATCCTGTTCGTAAACTTACAATTTATTATTCGTCTGACCCTCGATCACAGAAAGATTCTTGAACGCAGGTCCACGAGTTACATTTATTCAACAAAAAACCCGTAAAGTCCATGTACTTAATATAAGCCGAGCCACCGATACTGTAGCACATGTATCCAGGCCCTATTTTTACCTTCAAAGTTTACAGTGCACTGGTTAATGATGTGTTTTCGTAACAGGTTTACACTGGGTGTAACTGTGTCTTGACACCTTTTAATATCTCAACGCCCGTGGCTTCTCGTGGATTGTGTGACAGAGGCTCAGGCTGCAAAAATTACATCGTATTTTTGGTCGCTGTGCTACTTCTGGTGATGGCAGGTTTTACACTTTCTGTACCAAACAAGACTGTTGTACTTAGGTAAACACATATAAAAGTAACAAGACTTTTCGATTTGAAAACAGCTGACAGGCCTATGCCCCTGAATTCTTACAACGTTGGTTGTCCACAGTTGTGTAGACAACCAACATTTGGCAGAACGCTTCACTCTCACAACGCCTCTGTCCATCCTAGAGTATAAATGGGTACCGGCGCATTGTCAGGGAAGCCTGACGAAATGCTGGGGGGGTAACCATGCGATGGAATAGCATCCCTTTCAGAAAATTCTCCTAATCGCTTCCTCGTCGGAAACCGGAATAAGCTCCGGCTGAGTGGGCCACTTGGCTCCAGCGCAGACCTTGCCTTTACCTTTTTATTCTAGTACAATACTGCAAGTACTAACAATTAACTATTACTCATTTAAAACTCTTTGCTATTTACGTCTTTCATTTCCAATTCGGACTTAACTCACATTTACGAAAACAAAAAGGAAATCTACAAACATCAAAAGATTTGCCATTACAATGGCATTATTATCATCTCAGCTGTGTTCAATCCTAGGTCAGTTCCTGACAACATTCGCTCCTACGCATTTGGCTTACAGTTTGTATTCCAGCGAACTCTTGGATTCATTCCCGGACCGATAATTTACGGTTGGTTGTTTGACACTCGCTGCCTCGTTTGGGCGGAAAGCTGCGGCAGAAGAGGCAATTGTCAGTTTTATGACGAACATAGTTTGTCCTATGGCATCATGCTTCTCGCCGGAAGTTTCCATGGTAATTTTGAAATAAGATTTTTGATACATTTCTATCTATTTATGTTTTATCTTTGGCATCCATCGGTCACGAGTGACCAAGGACCTCCGGTTCAGGTATATCGGAGCAGCGTCTAAGATGGATGTGCAGACCAGTGTGTCGAGAGTGACAGTTCTTTCTGTAGCCTTTGCACTCGCGCTCAGTGTCATGCGTCGTCGATCAATAAAGAGCTTCAACATCTCCATCCATCAACCATAATTATAACTATCACTTCAGCAATTGTACTAAGATTTCACCGTAACTGTACTTCATTTTTCTTTCTGCAGTGTTGGCTTCTTTATTCTATTTCATTTCATTTTGGTATTGTCGCAAACGAACTACTTTAGACGAAGCGAAGAGCGTCAGGAAAACGGTAGAATACGGCAAGAAATTAAATGATCAGGACACAAGTGTGTAAGGGAAGTCATGGGTTCCAAATCTGTTCTCGAATCCTTTTATAAAAAGTTATTAATGGACAAAACTCTAATTGTCTTAGTGCTAGCTTCCTGGTGTCAACATTAACATTTTTATCATGGAGGGTGAGGTTTTTAACGTGACGCATAACTGAAGCCCAAATTAATTTGTGACGCGTGACTTTTACAAACATGCATTTGAAGTTTTGCCTTTTAAATTGGTGACGCGTGAAATACTGTTCAAAATACACGTGACGCGTGAATTTTTTTGATCAACGAGATCGGAACCCCCCCCCCCCCCACCCCTCCCCTTACTACCCTCACTATGGTCCATAGTATTAATATAGCGCAACCGGAAGAATGGTTAACTGATTCATACAATAATAGTCATACGCATAATACAGTAATGGTAATACACGTTATAGAATATACAATCAGAACACGGATAATAAAAAATGTTGGAAATTCTTAAATTGTGACATAGACCCATACCCCAATCTTACTTAAATTGTCACCGCAACTAGTGGAGGATGGTTTTTACGGAAAAAGATCATGATCGGTTCATATTCTCTTCTTTTACGGCTTATGGTTAAAATTCTTTCCATTATGGTCACCAGAAAAAAAATTTACGGATAATTTTTTTTTACGACGAACGGTTAATTTTTGTCAATTTTTACGCCTTACGACTGAATTTTTCGGCCGTTTCTCGGCTTATGGTTGACCCCATCGCGACCCTCCCAGTTACAGAGGCCGGCTTATATAGACAGTCTAACCGTCACATTGGTTACTTAATTATGTACAGTTTTTTTCGACAAAGACTCTCCCGTCATTTCAATTTCGTTTTTAGTTTGGTCTTCGTTTACATCATCTTCATCGTAGCTTGATTTGCAAAACCAAAAGCTCAGGAAAAAGAATAACACAGCCAGACCTGAGAATTAGGAACAAAACAGTAGTTAGACGAATTTAACACTTGGAGGAAAAGCAGATGTTTTAAGACAGGCTTTAACAAAGGACAAATTTAGTCTTTTGAGTGCATTCAGATGTCAAACTTTCCTACCTCGATACGACTTACTGTAAGCTTTAGAATTACTCTCAGTTGCTATCGGCATTAAAAAAGGAAAAAACTACATTTTTACCTGTTACAGATATTTAAGTAAAGAATACTTGTGAGCTACAATCATGAAATTTCAATGAAAAAAAACCTGCAAGAAATACAGGCTTCGACGGAATGTGAACTCACGCCACTCATATACTAGTTGGACTACCAAGCCACATGTTGTATTATCGTTGCATTGGTTGGTCGTGACAGCGAAAGGCTTATGGCTCCTACGAAGCACCTACCCAGGTTTCACTGAAAGTGCCTCGTTTCCCAAAAAAATTTGCCTTCTGCCTTACTTTTTATTGGGTTTAGTGTTATTAACCTCTGATGAAGTTTCACATCATGAAGGTGTTTTCCATAAGACTGCAAAGAATTTGGAATAGTTATGGTAATATAGTTATGGTTAAAGTTGTTTGTTTGATACAAATTAGGTTAAAGCGCATACAATTACAAATACTACGGAACAATGTACTATGCTTTTTATCTTCCATCACTGAAAAAATCAGAAGCTGTCCTGTATTTATTCGATCGATGATGGCAGTAACCTTGCTGGCTGAAACCTTACCTTTCATAATACATCCCAAAACTGTTATTGCTAACGACAGCTTCTTGATATCGTATATTTGACATCGACCTCGTTTTCCGCAGCTTTCTCCCCAGAGAAGGCAAAGATAGTCAAATATCCAACCAGTCACAACGGGTCCTGGCATAAAGCCAAGAGAGCGCTGGAAAATAAACTGGAAACCTAGGGAGTAGGATCTTTGATTATCCGGTACACATCTGTGGAGAGTAAAATAGAAAAGTCGATTGATATGAGATAGGCCTGGACGCTTTTGAAACTTCGTGAATACCTCCGGCTTTACGATCAATTCCAACTATTAACGTTTTTTTTCAAGAAAATCCATCAATGTGTTATGAAGAAGAGCGTCACCAATTTCTGGAAATGTCTTTCACGAAGGCAGTGAATCAATGATGTATACAATGATAATCTCGTCTTGTTCATTGGCAATGTTGAAAACACTGAGATCGTAATACATCCGAGTGGAGAATTCCCTGTAATCAGTCTAATAGGACTACTCCCTGTGTACAATTAACCGCAAATCTACTCTCATAGACGTTTATTTGGTTCTGATGTAACTCTTATTCCCAACGAGTGGAGGCGCAGCTGCACCTCCGTGTAAATCAGTCAAATCTGATAGTCAGGGGACTATTCGCAGTGATTCGTCGGCGAATCTAGCAGTATTAGAGACATTTTCCGTGGAAGGAAACATTTTCTTACCGTAGAGCGACGGTTTTGCTTGGTATTGCCGTTAGGAAAACGGCTAGGATTAGCAAACAAGAAACTAAGAGGAAATACAGAAAATTCTTGCAGCCTGGTCCTCGGTCGCAGTAGCGTTTCGCGGCTGTTGCTTTGGTCCCATTCCCAATAGGAGGAATACAACTACACTGGTATGCCTGAAAAAATTTTTAATCTATTGTTAATACTGAACCGGAAAGTTGTGAATTTTGTTGAAGCTGAGTAGCATCACAAAGTACAGGGGATCATGTTGTAACCTAATTTTTTTAAACTGAGATTACTTCGCAGTTCCTAAGGTAAACGCAATGCTGAACCGATCAGAGTGCGAAATCCCTTTTCCCTTAGAGACTATTACAACAAACATGTGTGAATTTCATACCTTAGATCCTTCCACTTTTGAACATCCAGCGTGGCAAGGCGAAAAATAACTCAAGTTATCCTCTCCGCACACGGGATCAATATTTGCGATCGAGCAACTACAGTTCGCATTGCATGGGGCTGTTAGACTTCCGATTTGTGACTGGCTATTCGTGATAAACGAAAAGGTAAAGATCAAAATATTTTAGCCCCAATGATGTCAAGGACGTAGGTGAAAAAAAGCTTCTTCTTATGTAGAGTGAAACACCTTAGTTGGGTGGTGTATACTTTTTGGCCCGTGGCCCCACCCAGTATAAATATAAAATAGGATTCTGCTTAGTTCTACCAGGACATTCATATGAAATTCTGGCCTTATTGGGATATTTTAAATTATCATTCCCACCAATACAGAAAAAACTTTCATCCTGATTTATTCATTGCAGGAAAAGCAAAAAATCAAAAATAGCTGCAATTTTCCAAGCTTATCCAATTCTTTTGACTAAAGTTCTTCTGGTTTTGCAAGTATAGTGATGCACCAGAATACTGATATGTCACCCATGCCATTTACTTATACTCCTGAGAGTCGAGGTGTGCCTCTATAGATCACTTTAAATTTTTTTTCCGAATGACAGAAATTGTCCACACCTTTTGTAATAGGGTTTGGTGATACCCGCCAATTCGATCTGATTGCATCCCGGGATGATAAAAGTTGCTGCTGTCCATACGGTAAAAAGTTGAAGAAAAAGGCAGCACATTGCAGACAGTCGGCACGACTTCTTCAAACTAAACCGCCTAACAATGACACCACTCAAAAAAATACCACCTGAAAGAAAAGTTAAATAGACATACGTATTAATCAAGAGACGATCAAGCTAAGAGACTTCCTAAAGGCCTCCTTCCAAGAGAAATCACCCTGAAGTTATTTTAGACCCAACGTATTTGTCTTCGACCGGGAGTATTATTAATTGCACATTGTACGCTGAGTGAAAAGTTCGGAGAACTAGCATAACAGACACTGAATACGATGACCTTGTAAGCACGGTTTTCTTAGACTTCCAAGAGCACAAGACAGGCAAACAAAGGGATAGCAAAAAAGACAAGAAATTTTAACCACCTGTGGCACCTACAAGGAACACTACCCCAAGAGTAACACCAGCCAAGCCTGGGTTCGGATTAAATTTCAACTCGGCGAACTTGCTGATAAAGGCTCCCAATCCGGCCCCGAAAAACGATGCTGCAGTTGTGGCCATAGTGTTAAACATGTACGTTGGATTCTTTAAGAGCTTGGTGGTGGCTGGCACGATATCTTTTAAACTGCCTTGTAATCTGTGATCACTTTTTGGCAAGTTTCCTTCTTCAATGGCTTTATCGCGCATCTCTTTTGATCCTGGTAATTCACGAGGAAATCCAAGGATTACAATGGCGCAGACAAAAATCACCACACCGGTTGCAATGTATGCTAACCACCAGGCCCCAATCCACTGTGGGTGTCTTGAGGTTAAATTAGCTCCTTCAGGCTATTGTATAAACAAAGTATACATGTTAGTAAAAGAGAGCATCATGTTCAGCTCTGAAAATCACTTCAAATACTCTCTGTGTCGAAACTAGTCCAAAATTCATTTGAACGATCCCTACCACTTCTAATCCCACAAATAGATAGCTATTGACAAAATTTTTCAGAAATTAAAATAGTTACTAAGCCAAAGTGAGTGATTTCATAGACAAAAGGACCAGTCATTATCATCACCTGGGGGGTTGGAGTCGAAGAATTCTGGGGGGATTGTACAGTTTTCAGGGGAGAGCAGAGGAGGAATCAGTAGGGGAAGGGGTACTGCAGAAAACTGACTCCCCATGAAGTGGGATCAGAAGTATATTACGGAGTGTTATTGGGGGATCCGGTAAATGTTATTGTTTCACAGCCAACAAAAGGCAGCTTTAGTGATAGTTATTCTTATAATACTGAATTAATTATTAGCTAGTTTAGCTAGGCAGAATAAGATATTTTTTAATCTTAGATTGTGCTGATAGATTATACGGTGTACAAATAGAGATATCTAACCAAATCCTCCGACCCCCACCCCTCCCCTCCCAGGTGAGAAAAAATGATCGCTTTTTAACCTGTTTTATGTCTACGTAGACATTGTTCAGAATCGGTCCTCCAACCACAAATCCAAGCCCACTGCCTGCCACTGCACCCGCGAAAAATATACCGAGGTATATTGGCGATGCTTTAGGATGAACATTTTCGTCAATGTAGGCTGGTGCGAGTGAGTACAACGGTGTAGTGCCTGCACCCATGAGTAGTTGCGCCAGACAGAAAATAAACAGGTAGAACCTGTTTGACTCGTATCCGGAGAAACAGGCGTTACCAGTTGAGCTGTTGCTGTTCACCATACACTCTTCAACTCGTCTGTAAATGTCTGTGGTGTTTGTCACGACAGGTTTGTACGGACTAGTTAAGGCATGAGGAAGGAAAAATACAAAACAACCAATACCTGCGGATAACCATAGCACCATAGCAAGGATATCAGTATCTGGCCATATCAGTATCAAAGCCCCCCCCCCCACATGGAAAGAAAAAGTAATTTTGGTTCACACTTTGGCGAAAAGCACACATAGGCGCAAGAACTGGCATATGCTCAAGCATAAAACAAAAAAAGTGCTGACACATTAAAGTTTTTTGAGACAGATTTCTTTTGTTACCAGGGAACAAGAAACTCATAAGTTAGCTTCGCAACCAAACATGTGGCTTCGACGCTTCGTAGCTCAGTTATAAGTGACACCCATATTCAAGAGACAAGGGGTTTACTGTTGGTCAAAGGTTGAACTTTATTCAGCCTTCTTTATCTGCATCGACCATAATGGCAGTCACTTGTGAAAATCAAATCATGCTCTGGTATTCAGCTATCCAAAGGTCAATACATGATTTATGTTATATTCATTACCGACTTTGGTCAGAGCTAAAAAAGTTCCCCATAGAAATGTCACCACTATCTGCAAAACTTGTTTAAAGAAGTCTAACTTGGTTAAAAATCCTACTGCATCAATATACATAAGCGTTCAAGTCCCACAGATTGCTAACCCTCTAATTCTCATGAATGACCGAGAGAGAATTTCTCATCACAGTGTCAATGCATTATCAAGCGGACAAGGGTTGAGAATAAAGAAAAATAGCGATTAGGGGACTTTTAGTTGATCCAATACCAAATTCTCCAACCTAACATCATAAGAATTATATGGCAGATAGGAAGGAGAATTACTGATGAGATCTTGGGAGTGAAAGAGTTAATGACAATATCAAAAGAAACTGTTATATTCAATCAAACCTGTGACAAGTGTTCCATATCCCAGCCATCTAATCTTGTTTCCAAATTCACCGTAAAAACTGACAAAGCAGACAAGTACGATGGCAGATATGTCGTTGGAAGCAGCAATGATTCCAAGATCTTTGCTATTGAGCTGAAACCGTTTCTCTAACGTGGGCAGATTTATGGCTGTTATTCCATTTACCGTCATGCCTGTTGTAATAATTTCCATTTTTTAACAAACTCTCCTTGTCAGAAACCCATTGTATAGTAAATAAAAGAAAAGGAGCATGCGTACTTCCTGATAAGAACATACTAGCTCAACTACCAAATCAGGACAACAAATCTCACTGTTAACTAACTTTGCACAGTCGCAAGTATGGCGACCACAAAGAGGAAACATTTGGAGTTATTAGCAGTCTGGAGCCATCCTGGCTTAAATGAAAACCAGCCGTATTTCAGATCTTCCCTCGCAATCGTAGCCATGTCCTGGAAGATAAATCAGAAATCAGCAAAAACTACCATATGACAAGGATAACCAACCTTGCCCGTGACTTACTCTGGGTTTCATTTGTGTGACAAAGTAATCCGGGATTGCTTTAGTTTTATTTAACTTGCTCTGTGATTGGTTCAGAAAACGTACGCCATACTCTCAACCAATCAGATGCAAAACTAAAAACAATCGCGATTTGATCACTACGTTTCCCGCGCTTCGAGCAGCTTGCTTGTTTTTACGTTGAGTTCTTATTGGCTAATGATAATGTTAACCTTTATTCTGATAGGTCGTCGGGATTATGTTGGTTTTGGTTTCACGAAATCTGCTCTGTACGTAATCCACAATTTGCTTTCGCACGAATGAAAAGTAATCGAGGAAAATTTGTAAGTAATGATATAAATCTTAAGCTAGAGCATCCGAAAAAACAAATACTTGCTATATGTTATGAGTCTTCCTTTTTTCTTTCCATGATCTCGAGGCTTGATTTGAACAAAAGTCGATCAATTTGAAAACTGTTTCGTCTTCCCTGTTTCTGATGTGATTAAAAAAGGCAGTAATGCTTATGTCCTCTTGGTCATTTCAATTCTATAGAGCAAATTTGAGGCACACGGCAATGACGAACTGAACAAGATAAAAAAAAAAAATACAAATTGGATTACCCTAACCTTACATTGCTAATGCAACAACCTACTTCTTCAGATTTTGCTTGTAATCAGTTTTTACGATAACTTCTGAAATATATGTTGAAGCATATGAGACGGTACATTTCTAAAAGATTGTATTTGTACGAATTGCGTTTCCTTGAGTTATTTTTATTATCACAGTGTGCCTTTTATCTTTAACCTAACAGCTACGTATCTAAATCGACCTCACACCGGAAGATGTTTGAATTAATTTATACAGGCCCAGGCGAGAACCGATTGCAGGTGGTAAGTGCATTCCACGGCCGAAACAACATGCACTTGACGGTCCTTGACACTACTTTTATACATTTTGAAAACGATACTCTTTGACAGACGACTTGCTTTTCTTTGTTAGATCGTATTTCTTACGATAAGCTTTATTGTTCCCTTTTAGTTTCTGCGTTTTGTCGAGTTTCTTCTCTTCTGATCAGCGAGTTGTTTTCCGTACACGTGAGAATTTCATTTCTTCGCGAAGTTTTCCGCAAAGAAAACGTACATCTAATGTCGCGGTCACGTATTGCTTTTTCGTGACCTAACGGGTCAAGTTAGCACTCTGTCCTCGTCTTCTTGTATCGTTTTTCTTTGTGTGAAATAATGATATTCATCATGTTCCTATTCGGCGGTGCATTAACCCATAGAGCTTATATCTTTTTTTGTCGGCCAAAAGTTAGGTAATCTGTTTTTGAATGTATACCATACATCATTCGCTTAATATGAACGCAGTTTATTAAAAAAAAAAACAGAATCGAGAACACAAATGTCAATAGAAAGACATGCTTTAACAGTTTTTCAAAAGGAAACGTTTCAAGTATCACGCATTAACTACATTTGTTAAACCTGATCTCAAACAGAATAAATCATTCAGATAAAATATTACGACTGTTATCCTCAAAGAATATGAAAGCTAGGCTTTATAGTGATGCATGCAACCTAAAATTACTGAGTGCTCATTTATAGTATTTTTCCTTTTAAGGAACATGATTGTGCCTGAACCGTTAAAGTAGCCGGAGATTTACCGTGGCACTCCTGAATATAGAATAAACCACAGATTAATTTGTTCCAGGTACACCCTCTTGACTTGCAAGCAGAATATTTTAGGAAGTGCAAGATCATGTGGCAACAAGCCGGAATATTTACCTGGATGGTGACTTTACTCCGGACGGGTCAGTGATATCGTACTATAACAGACCAAATAACCACCGAGCTTCCGGCGAATCTGACTGTGGGTCGGTATTGCGTGGAATGAGTACGTGCACTGCACGCAAGCAGGACTTGATAGACTTGATATGCCTATATATGGGAGATGCTCAATCAACGTGGGGGATTTCGTGTTTGTGGAAAGCTTAACGAAGAAGAAAAACATTTCTTAATCACCTCGTGATAACAGGATGTCAGTTAACAAACTTGGCAAAAATTCAGTTTCAAAGGAGTTACGTTTCAGCAAGTTGTCCTCCTGCGAGAAGCAAAATTGCCTTAAACATGGAGGAAAACCAAACAATATTAGTTAAGGAAAATAGGAAAATTAGGAAAATAGAAAATAGGAAAATTAGGAAAATAGGCCAAAATGAGTAGGGGTGGTTGTGGATGGAAAATATTAAGGATTGCTGACGAAAAACTGTCGATCCGTTTTTCAGCCATCTTAAATGATGGAATTTCGAATCTCGTCATTTTCAAATTTCAATTCAAAACCCGTTTCTTCTTTATCTCGCATGTTACCATCTAAATTGGGATAGTTCCGTTTGATTTCTCTCGGTTTCGTCTGATTTTGGACAAGTTTCAATTACACATTAAGATCAACTCAAGTTGCGTTTAAGTTTTCATCATCATTTCAACTCGACGGTTTCGCCTGGTTTTGGAAGGCTGCTTCCGATTACGAATTGTTCTATCCATTTTCGAAGATTCTGTTAGATTTCGGACGGTCCCAAAGGCATATCAACAGGTCTGTATAAGCCGCCCTGGATTTGACCCTCTTCAGAGAGGGTGACGATCTGCCTCCCAGCATTCCATGCAAGACTAACACAGAACATGGCCGTGGCCGTGCGATTTACTGTATTTCGGATTGTTGGATTGTTTTCTTTCTTTGTTAGTTTCTGGTTGGATTTTCCTTTGTTTATGCTCGGAAATTAGAAATTTGGTCATTTCTTAACGCTTTCATAATTCATCGCAGCTGGAAGAGTGAACTCGACGTGGAGACAAACCAAAGCCGTTTGGACCTTGGATCGTAGTCATGATTGTGGAAATCTTTGCCTTTGAGTCCTAGTAAGTGAATATATTGATGAGCTAAAAAGTCAAAAAGGAAGCTTTTAGGCAATATTTTGTCCAAAAAAATTTAACTGATGTTAACTTCTAAATCTAGGATGTTTTGCATCCCCGTTTGTTTTGGTCAAATCCGCGGGAAGTTTAAAATCCAGGCAAGCTACAATTTGTGATTTCAAGTTTAAAGGTCGTTAACAGGAATTATAATTGATTAAGCTCCCACGCTCTAATAAGCGTCTTCCCCTTAATAGGCGCCCACCCCCTAGGCCATTATGTTGGTAGAATGTTGAATGGCAACTTAGTAATTTCCTGCTGAAAATGAATTTTCAAAATGAATGCTTTAACCCTGCAAAGTTTGAATAGCCAATTATAACATGTTACCATAGATGACTTTAGAAGTTCTTTCTGCAGCAAAACATCCCAGTTCTTGAATTTCAATTGCATATACATCTCCTGATTTCAGTTGTATGTGGTAATCTTTCCTATCTGTCTGTGAATAAAAGTAGACTGTGAATGGAGAAAGAAAAAAAAAAGGATTAAAGTCCTGAATGAAAGTAAAAAGGAATGTCCAGAAAATCTCATCCAAACAGATAAGATCTTGTGGTCAAGATCTTCACTGCTTACACCTGACCAACAACCCTTGCTGCAGTGTGCTTAAACTGCCTTTAAATTAATTTAAAGAAACCCAAGCATCAAAATTGCTGTAGAGGGAATTGAACTAAGGTCAGTCATGGGCAAGAGATGACTTTGCTGAGAGTTCCCTGAGACTCAGTAGGAGACCTGTGTTTGTGTTTCTACTTGCAGTTTACTAGGTCTGATTTTTGCAGGATAGCACCTTTCAATTGATTTAGTTAATGTTGATATAGTTTATGGCTGTTACACTTCGAATAACACATCAACAATTTTTTTGCAAAGGATGCTTGTGAAGATCTACCATATCCTTTTATCAATCTTAAGTTCACTTAAGTCACTATTCCCCTGAAGCACTGCATGTTTCTCTCTTGGTGAATCACATGTATACAAATACAGTTAGAAAGCTGAAGTCAACTTGTACAATCTAAAAGTTGTTATGATCAGAGACTGTTTTCATACAACAATTCCTATGTCAAGACAGTTATACTACCAATTTTACCAATTGAAGTTAAAGAAACAAATTTTTGTGTTGGACTTAGCACCAAATTGTCTTTAGATGGATCAGAAATTACTCAAACAAGCCTGGTTTCGCAGCAGTTTTTGGAACAGGGATGAGTTATAGTTTGAAGGATAGTGTTTATGGTTGTGTAAAGATTACTCATGTAGGCCCTTCACTTCTCTTTGAGAATTCTTGTTATGAAAACTTTAAAACTAATTTTTGTTCCTCTTTTAGGTGGAATGAAGAGTGCAATGATGGAAAAGCCAGGTATTATGGTGAATGGACAACATCAGCAATGAATCAGAATGTGGTGTTTTTGAAAGGTGACAAATCATGTTTTAATGCTTGAATTATAGATAATTATAATCAAAGAAAGATGCATTGGAAACAATAGTAAACATAACTTTGCAGACTTGTCAGGAAAAAAATTTTAGAGAACTACCAGTTTTTTAAAATTTGAAATTACTGCTGCTTACAGATGACATGTAACTGCTAAAAAGTTTCTGCTACCTGTCTCTAATGCAGTATAGGAAGCTGGGAAGTTCAACTGCCATTAAGTGATGGTGTGACTGACTTCATGTAACTTACTGACTTAAAGATCAGCTGGCTGACTGATCTACTCATCTGACCTAATGGCTGACTGACAAACCAACTGGTTAAGAAACTAAGTGATGGCTTGACTCTGTGTGGGTCTGACAGACCTACAGATGTACATGAATTCACAGCTTGCAGATTTGCAAGCTGGCTATGTGACTGACTGTTTGGTTGAATTATGTATTAACTTTTTGACTGACTAGTACTAAGTTGCAGACCATATGAGTGACTGATTAATGATGGACCAAGTGTTGACTGAAAAATTTACTGACTGTCTGATCAAGTGAATGACAGGTGAACTGACTCACTGATTGCCCTAGTTTCT